TGCAGAGCGTGCTGGCGGCGGTTGTACTGTCAGTGCTTTAAGCTTTACACAGGCAAGTGAGACTTTCTGAGTTCAGGAACGAAGTCCCCCCCTTGTTTACACCTTTTCGCATCTTTGTTTTGGGGCCACATCTTGCTGCTGGTGCCTGGACCAGCGTTCCACGACTGTGGGGTCCTGTCTGGGGCACGCAGCAGTGCATGGGTACACTGCTCTGCTCAGACTGGGACTCCAGACTTCTCCGTGCACTCAACTCTGCTCAGCCCTCGAGACCCTGATACTAATCTGCTCTTATGTTTTTTTCATTAAGCAGTTTAGATGGTCTCGCTATGATAAGCTGCTACAGGAGTTGAAAGTTCTTATCTGTTTCTCTTGCTTTCATTATTTGTTTGTTTTTCTGGAAGAAGGAAAAGCTATTGGACTTTCTCATTTTCTCTGCGTGCTTAGTCATAGCTCCTTAAACCCAGGCTGTTTTTCACAAAAGCTGAGATATTGAGAAAATTCAAATTTCCTGTGTGGTCTTGTATGGAAAAATCTCTTTAGTTTTTAGATTGTAGCATATTGAAAACATACTTTCTTGTGAAGTGTTTACCATGTTCTACTCTGGTCTCACGCATCTGCATCCGCTCAGTTTAGAAATGCTGATCGCAAAATGACCCTTTCCCCCCTTGCATCCCAGAAGAAGGCAAAAGGTTTTGGTGCCTGGAGGTTGAAATGTATGATGCGGCATCTGGTAATGAATCAGCAGGTCCTTTATCTTGTTTGCCACAACAAGTTCACGTTTGTGTATTTTAGACGTCAGATCCAGGAGGGCGTCCTGCTGTCCCGATGCGACAGCCTCGGGGCTGGTTCGGGTGGGCAGACTCACCCGGGTAACGGAGGCTCCTCCAGCGTGTGTCTGTGCATGCCACGTCAGGCTTTGGGAGGGGACGTGAGCTGCCCAACAGCAAAATCTAGCTAAGCTCCAGTATTCAGGATCATTTGTATATTAGGTGAGGTAACAAAGATAGATAGGTTTTGTTTATCTTTTGGGAAAGGAAGTCAGAGAAGGGCCTTCCCTGTCTCAGGCTCTGCACTGAATAATTGAGATATCTGTAATCTAATGAGCACACTTCTCGAAACAGTTGATCTTCAAGGAAACCCTGTGAAAATAAGGCTGGCTGCAGACAGCGAGTTGAACACGGCTGCATGTTGATAGCATTAGTAGGATGCTGTTTCAGCGTCAGCCATCCTACCTGACTATTAAGCACGTGGTACCCTGCGGGCATCAGCCAAATAAATAATGAATGAGGCGTAATGTGTGGGGTGCGTTTTAAATGCATCACAACCAGGAAGAGGGTTCTGCTCAGGAAAGTGGTGCAATGGATGCCTTGGCAAATGAGCACTGTGGGAAGAAACGCAGAGCTATTTGCAATGTAAATAGGTTTTTAATTCAGTTTCACGGCCCCTCCCCTCATGCTGTTAAGTAAGTTTGACTTTGAAGTGAAGCCCGAAGAGTTGTTATCTGCTCAAAGGCAGAACTAACATTTTCATGTTATCACCTTTTTGCCCTGTGCATGAGGGAACCTGGCATGACAGATAGTAGTATTGTCTCCCTAGGAGCTCGTCGCTTCGCTGGGAGTCCAGTGCTGAGTTTAACACAAATGAACGATTTAAATGTCTTTGTTTTAATGTCTTGGCTAAAGAGACAGAAATCCCAATATTTCCTTTTCCTGTGTCTCCCTAGTTGAGCTAGAGCCCTTCCAGGGCTTTCTGCCTGGGATATCTGTGCCTTCAGCAGCAGCTTGCTTTAAACTCAGACTTAAGCCCTGGCTGAAAGGGGGTGCAGCTGAGACCTGCGGTCACCCAAGGAAAAGCCCGCTCCTGCCATGGGGGAAGGGTTTGCTGTCAGCCCGTAGCCGGTGCCACTGCAGCTCCTCAGCTACCAGGGACTACTCTTGAATCGCTTTGTCTCTGCACAACAAGGAACTTTGTTCAGTGTTTTGAAAATATTTGGCATTGAATGTTTTCTTTCTCAAATGGGGCTATGGTTAGGTGGTTTCCTCTTCCCTTCAAAATGAGTAAACTTCCAAACCACTAAGCTGGTGAGTATTGACTGACTCACCAATGGGATTAGCAGAGATCAAACACATTATGTCTGGTTTACTTGGACCTGGGCTTGTTGCAAGCCTGAACGCACGGCTTCCACTGGTGAAACAGTGCTAAGCTGCCGTATGTGTGCTGAAAGCCAACTGTTGGGTTGGTTGGATGGGGAGCGGAGTTAGGGAGAAGGGTTAATCCTTTATTCCTTGCCCATATGTACCACAGAAGCGACAGAAAATGGGTCAAACCCACCACTATGAGAGCACCTGTTAATGTTTTCTTTTCTAACAGAGGATTGGCTCTTACCAAGCACCAAATGACTTTTGCAGAGTGTTGTCGCAGCTCTTTTTCCTGCTGAATCACTTTTGGGAAGTGCAAGTTAGAAATTACCCCTCTTCCCAGGCCTTATCAGTTTTTGAGGGTTTAGTACCGAAAAGGGCCTACGTGCTCTGCTGAATGCGGTCTGTAGGCGGTTGGCAGCTCCTGAGGTTAAATTGCTCTTCCCCGCCTTGTGCCACGGCAGCCTGGTGCCGTGCGAATGGTGATCCTGGCTCTCCGCTGCCTTTCTGGAGCCGCTGCGCTTTGCCGTGGATGGGAAGAGCAGCATCAGGTTCTCTGCTGTTGTACTTTCGATGGATGAAACCCCACGAGCATTGCTGCAGAGAGAGCACCGATAACCACCCCAAGCACGCTGTGTTGCGCAGCACTCTGGCCGTGCCTGCATCTCCCCTGTTGCCAGGGCTTCTGCCTGCTCTCCTCCTGCAGAAATAGCTGCCGCGCTCTGCTAATGCGTCTGAAAATAGCCTGGGAGGAAGCAGAATGACTAGACCAAACAAACAGAATAGATCTCTCACCGAGACTGGGGCCTCTGCCTGGTCCCCCGGGTGCTGTGCGGGCAGCCCGGCCCCGCTGCGGGGTTTGCTGGGAGCAGCAGCAGGGCAAGATGCGACTGCCCCTTCGGAGGCTAGAGACGTGGACCCAAAGGCACGAGGCTGAGGAGGCATAGGGCTGGCTAGGCTTTTTGTGTCTGGATCTGCTGGCTGCAAGATGAACTGGGATGTTCAGGATGGAAAGCCTGACAGCTTGCAGCCAAGTGAGATGCAGTAAACCGTCAGCCCACGACGAGACCCATGGGAGTACAGCATTGGCTTTCACCCTCTGCGGCACATTCCTCTCTTGTGCAAACACACAGCCACACCTGAACTTGTGCAAATACTCTCCACCGTGTTAAATCCATTATGACCTTGGTGGTCGTGCTTATCAGAGCTAGATAATTAAGTTTTAACTCCTTGTATGGAAAGGGCAGTCCAGGAGTGGACTTAGGGTCCACTTAGGAGTGGTGGAAGTGGCGTTGGCCCTAGGGCGAGGGCTGGACTGGTGTTGTCCCCTGGTTCCCTGTGCTTTGTTTGCAGGCACTTGGGCCTGTTCTTTCCCCTTCTCATTAAAATAAATAAGCAAACACATTTTTTGGAGACTGGATTTACAGTGCAGCTCATGGGTTGTTGTGTGTGTAATGGCAGGGGGTGGCAGGACCAGCCGGTGCACCTGGGGCACCCCGGGATTCCTCACAGCGCTCCCCCCACAAGGCTGCTGGCAGGGGCACACGGACCAGGATCGCATCGCTGCTATTACTGCATATAACATCAGTGTATGGACGTGGTCAGGGAAATGGCGCAGCCATGCTGGCACGAATGTGTCAGGGATGAAATTCTTCACACAGCGGAAGGTCCCCCCGGGCGAGCCGGTGCTTGGGGTGGTGGTGGGACATGGTGGGCTGGGATGCGTGGGCCTCCTGCTTGCTCGGTTGCCTTCCTTGCCTTCTCCTGCCATTGCATGGACGTGCTTAGCCCAAGTGCAGGTGAGTTGTTTGGCTGAAAGCCAGAGGAAGAATTTGGCATCCAGCTCTCTTACACTAAAAACACTGAAAATGTGTGTCGATTGTTAGAGATATCCTCTGCTCATTTGCTGGTCCTGGTTAGGACCTGCAGGGACATCCCTGGAGAGGTCAGGCTGGGCTCAGCCCCGTGCTGCTGGGGCTTGGCTAGGAAGAAGGTTGTCCTCTTTCTCGCGCTCTCTCATGGGAAATTTATCTTTGTCATCTTTGTGTTCCATCCTGCAGTTTATTTACAGCATTCCCTTTATCTCCACAGGCCCGGCGTGATTACCATGCAGGCGCTTTCAGAAGAGGACCGAAGGCTGTGGATGGAGGCAATGGATGGCCGGGAACCGGTGAGCAGAAATATTAGTGAAAAAGTGTTGGAGAAAATTGTGGAGAGGTTTTTTGTAGCCTGGGGCAGATTGTTTGCTGCGAAGCAGCCTGTCATGCAGCGCCTGCCAGCCGGTGCGAGAGCTGTGTCCGTTGGGCAGCTTGTGCCTTCTGCCAAGAGAATAGTTTAAGCCCTTGGTTAAATATTTGAGGTAATACTGTATCTCCTGTGCTTGAAGGTGCGGTGGAAAGGAGGAGGGTAGGCTTGGCCAGCACAAACACGCTGCTGTGCTGTGCTGAAAGGAAAACATGGCAAAAAGAGCAGTGGAAGAAAATACGCTGTAGATTTCCAGGGCTTTTTGAGTCCTGCAGCTCATCTGGCAGCCGTTTCTGCGTCTTGTAGAGAATTGCAGATTTCGTGTGAGCAGAGGAGTGTAGCCCCTGTTCCCCATACTCAGCGATAGCCTCCTCGCTGCTGTGTTTGCTCCTGCCGTGCCAAAGCTGCACAGGCTTCCTCACCTCTGGAAGGGATTATGAAGGTTTTCAGAAAACTCACAGTTGTTGTTTTTTTATTTCTTGATGCGTATGCAAACTTTACTGCCAAGCTCGAAGAGCTTTGGCTGGTTCTGACTGGGTTCCCTCAGAGGAGTGCTGGTGTGGGCGCTGTGTGTCGGCAGCGTGGTCCTGCCTGGTTTCGGCGTGGCGGCTGTCCGGCAATGAACGGCAAACACAGCACCGCCGAGCAGCCTTTGTATGCAGAGCGAGACTAGGCTGTGGGCCTCTGTGCCTTGGCGTGGCCAAAAGTGTAGCAGGATACGAAGAGAAACTTTGCGGATAGCGAGAGCAGCCAGGGCTGTTACGGGACAGTCCATACATTTTTGGGTAGGTGTCTGCTTCTGGGCTTGAGTCAGGCTCTGGCAGTTGGAGGAGAGTTCATGCGGGGAGCAGAGTGTCCCATCCCAGCACAGCCCCGCTGCCACAGACTGGTATTGATTTGAGCAAGATTCCTTCCAAATCCACGAAGAGGCCCTTGTTTGTCAGAAAAAATGTTCATTAAAGCCAGGTGAGACGTGGATACATGCGGGCTGTTCAGTGAATGCTGGAAAGCACGTGCTGGGCTTAGTCAAGCAACTTGCTTTTGAAACGTGCAGTGGTTTGGAGGTCGGGAAGGCTGTGTGTGTGTGAGGGTGCTGCTGTGTATTTCGGGTAAAGCATTTCGTTGTGGATTACAGCGAGGTCTCAGCCTGGAATCATAGATCCTTTGGGTAATTCAGGTAGGACGGGACCTCGGGTGGTTTCTAGTCCAATCTCCTGCTCACAGCAGATTACTCAGGGCACTATGCGGTTGGGTGCTGAAAACATCTGAGGAAGGCGACTGCTCAGCCTCTCTGGGCTCCAGCTCGGCGGCTTCACCGTCCTCCTGGAAGAGTTTCTCCTGATACCCAGTCTGAACCTCTCCTGTTTCAATTTATACCTATTGTCTCTTGTCCTCCCGCCATGCACTGCTGTGAGGAGCCTGGCTCTTTTTTTCTGATGCCTTCCCTGTAGGAAGGGTGCCATCAGGTCCCCACAAAGCTCTTCCTTCTCCAAGCTGAATAAACCCCGCTCCCTAACAGGGCATGTGCTGTGTCGCTCGGACCTACCTCTGATGGTCATCACAGCTCTCTGCCACATTGGTTTCCTCCCTGCAGCAAAATTGTGCTTCTGGGACAAAAATGCTCAGTTACACCTGCAGACATACCATTTCCAAGAACAGGCATTGTGGGACGTGCAGGCACAGAGACAAAAAAGGACTGAATATGTGTTATGTGCACAGGACAGCCTCTGTTCCCTTTTTCTATTGCGTTGAAAAGGGGCCCTTGTTTGGGAGAGCCAGCCTGCTCCTCCACCTTGCCTCTTGACCCGGGTGGCCCTGCCCTGGGGCAGTTTTAGTGGGAAGACATACCAACCTCTCCAGTTCCAGCATGCAAGCTGTCTTGTTCCCTCCTAAAGTAACCCCCACCTTGATTCTGGTGGCACCTGGAGACAGGATAATATTTTCAGTTTCATTAGAAACAAAATGTGCATTCTTGCTCCTAGTCCGAATCAAGCCTTGTCCTCCTTCAGCCCGCTCACCTACTTCCCACTGCCTCACCTCCACTAAGAACTGTTTTTGCAAGGGTGCAAAACCCAGTCACCTGCAACTGGAGCTGCATGAATATGGTCATCCAGTTGCATTTTGACCTGCTGAATTTACCAGGATTTGGCACAACAGCAGAGCCAGTCTGTTAGGATTGGGTTGCAGAAGAGCAGCCAGAGATTTTGTGTGCTTGTAAAGCGCTATAGATGCAAAAGGTGCTATGAAGTAACCAATGCAGGACAGCCTGGATTATCCTGTTTCAGAATCTGGTTATGTGAACTCCTTCAAAAACACACAGGTCTTCGTGCTGCCGCCTGCGTATTTCTATTCTTCCCTATCATGCCCATCAGCTTGGGGTAGCTTGCTAATCCAGCACGTCAAGGATTGTTGCTGCGCATTTATGCAATACCTCATGGCACTTAAATGCTAATGGCGTTTAAACCTGGCCTTCCAGGTGTGGTGCGGGAGCCATGGGAATGAAGCTTGTATGGAAATGGATCCAAGAGGCATTTTACTGATGAAGATGGTGCGTGTTGACAGACAAAGTAGCTCCTTGTCCTCAGTTATCCTCCTCGATCCATCAAAAGTGGAGCTGTTGGTCTGTTCTGTTTGGGTTCTTATCTTGCAACACCAGGGTGTGCGATGTTACCTACTCTGCAGAGATTTCCTTGAGCAAGAGACAAAGATTTAACCTTTGGGCTCCTAGAAACATCCATTCTATGCTTTGACTATATTTTTGTAAGCAAAAAAAACCCTACTGGAAAGAATGTCTGGTTTTCCTTTGATTGGAATATTGAGTGTGGGAAAGATTGGCACAGTGGGGACAGTAATTCTATGTGCAAATTCAGGCTGTGGAGAGATTGAAGTGGACTGGAGTTTGTTTCTTAATTATAATTAAAAAACTAAAACCAAATGTTGTATTACATTTTAGTAAGGTCTAAACATAGAATGTGCACTGCATTAGCCAAGACATTTGTCACAACTTGAAAAGATTTATTATATATCTTACAGTCAAAGCAGTCTCCAGATAGCTATCATCAGTCTGTTAACTCTTACCACTTGTTATTAATTTGGCTAAAAACCCCGTGTTGACTTTGGGTTTTCTTTATGTTACAGAGGCTGGAAATAGGAGAAAATACTAACTCCGTAACAGAGCAGTTGCATTCATTTTTGTTGGGATATTCAGGATAAGTTTCCTATGTTTTTTCTCCTCTGGTGATGCAGTTTGCAAATGTATACGGTGGTGGCCAGAGTGATTCTGAAACTTCGTTGGAGCCTAAGTCAAGAATAAAAGCTGTGTTGGCTCATAGCGGTGGCTGTGGTAGGCTGGAGGATTAAGAGAGGCGCAAATTAGGCTGTTTGCTTTGCGGCAAAGAACTGAACAAGATAAGCATTTTAGCAAGGTTGTGGCTTTGCTTGCCAAGTCTGCAGTGAGCATGTCAGCCAAAAAAGAGATGTTGGTGTCAGCGGTTCCTGTTATTACCTTCGGAGCAGGTCGGTAATCTTAGAAATCATTCTCACATCAGTGAGGGCAGAAGTGGGCTACTGGGTTTGAAGTGTTTGGGACATGAAAGCGTTTCTCCAGGAAAGTGAGCCCCGCAATGTAAGGGCGTGTAGAGAGTTAAGGATATGAAACATGTTAGATCATATCCCTGTTGAGCTGTATTAATCCGTTGTCCATAACCTTGAGTGGTGATGGAGAAGTTAGTGTTAAATGGCAAATTCAACAGGCTGTGATCCTGTCAGAGGAAATAAGACATGGATGGGATCTGAGCAGTGCTGTTCTGGCACTCGCATCATGCTGCCCTTTGCTCGATTTCTTTTGTTTTTCTTTTTTGTTCTTTAAAGCAATACAAGTCTATAAAAATACAGCCAGCATTTCATATTGGAGTTGGTTTTGTTAGTGCTGTACAGCCGAGTGCACCACAGGCTGGGGACGAGCAGTCGGTCTCATGCCTTTGCAGGGAAGGGAGGGAGGACACTGAAATGGAGACACATCAGCAGTGCTTTCTCCTTTCCTTCTCTGCTCCCCTTACCCTCTCTTCAGTTCTTTAACATAATCTGCAAGTTTGTAAAGGCAAGAACAAAGTACAAAGTCCCTTGCATGCTTCGGGAGGCTTGAAGCTGGTCACTGAATGGAAAGGCAGCACTGCAGAAGCTGGTGGGTTTTGTCCTGGGACCTCCCAGGGGTCGGACCTGTCGTACTGGAAGGGCCCTGTTCCTCTTGGCACTCACGTGACTTAGTCCTTGGGTGGTGAAGCTCCATCCTCCAGAAAGCAAATAAGGTTTCTGCTCCCATTCTGGAAGGCTCTTTCAGGACCTCACCACTCTGATGTCTAGAAACCTTCCCAGGGTTTCCCACCCACCCAGGTTTAGTTGTGTCCAGTTCGTGTTTGCTCCTCCATGTGAGGACACTGGGCTGCACGGCCATTGAGCCGCATGAAGCTGAGGGCCGTGGGGGACAGTCGAGTGGTAGCTGTGGTGTCTGGGTTTTGTGCCGGGTGCTGAGACGCTGTGTTCATGTTCCCAACCAGGGGCTGGGCCTGGCTGGAAATGCGACGCTGTTTGTCAGTGCTGGGAACTGGCGAAGTTCAGAAGTAGTTACAGCTGAATTAATGGACGCCCAGAGGGCAAGATCCACAAAGTCTTTTAAATGATTTTTGAGATATTATGGAGCCACTTAGACTCTCTTAGGCCTTCCCTAGGTGCCGAAGATCTGCAGGCACCAGAAGCTCTTTGCTGAAAGCATTCTTCTGCATAGATGTGCCACTCCTTTGCTTGGGCAAGGAGCACCCTGCGCCCACTCCTGGCTGCCACTTCAGCAGCATGCTTTATCCATCTTGTTCTTAATTTATCTTCCTCCATCTGAGCCCAAACCAAACTCTTAGCCTTCAGTCAAGACCT